AAAAAATCCAATTTTACAATAAAAAAAGAACGGAATGAATATAATATGCAGCAAAGAGCTGCACATGCAAAAAAGCATGTAGTTAATCTATTAAAACGCAAATTATCAAATCAGGAATATATCCTGTTGGCAAAAGGCTTGAAATTTATCAATTCATCAAGCAAAAATGTCTATACTTAAAGACTACAGTGAATTTGCTAGACAACTGCGATGTCGATATATGTTCAGTCATGAAGAAAAAAATTTGTAAGGGTTCCGCGGAACCCAGTGTCTCGCCTACTTTTGCTGTTAATCGCAGGCTCAACAAATATGAGGAAAAAATTAATAAAAATATTCCTCTCGATACTATCTTTTGATAGTAAGAAGCTTCTGTCCAAGTTTGGTAAAAATCCAGGATAGTTTATGAATCTAATAAATGTTTTAAAAACTTTAACTGCAGACTGTATGTAATGTTAACTGGAAGAAAAACTAAGTCCATTTATAAGTAAAATACAGAAAAACAGGTACAAAATTTTAACAAAATTTCCTTCAAGATACCAGCTTTTGATCATAAACACGCGTCTGTCCAAGTTTGGTACAAATCCAGGATAGTTTAAGAAAGTTATTAAAATTTTAAAAACTTTAACCACAGAGTGAATGTTATATTTCCTGGCAGAAAAACTAAGTCCATTTATAAGTAAAATACGGAAAAAATTGATTTTTTTTTACTAAATTAACTTCTGTATACTATCTTATGATCATAACAAGCTTCTGTCCAAGTTTGGCAGAAATCCAGGATAGTTTAAGAAAGTTATTAAAATTTCAAAAACTTCAACCACAGAGTGAATATTTGTGGACGCCTCCGACGACGGAATGTAGGATCGCTATGTCTCGCTTTTCGACAAAAGTCGAAGGCTCGACAAAAATGACCTTCATCCATTTCATAGCAATACAGGATATAAACCTGCTTCTACGTGCCATACGTCGGAAATTATATCAATTTAACAAAGCTTGAATTATTTTTTCTAATAAATAAAAAAAACAATCTTACTAAGGGCGAAAGAATAGCAAGTACGCAATTTGAAAAATGATGAAACAATAGTAATAAAAAAGGCAGATAACAATTCAAATTGTGTTATTTTAGACAGGCTAGACTACATAGCAGAAGTCACAAGACAACTAAATACTCAACATTACTGCCAATTAGATTCATTTAAAGGGACATTGGTTGTCAAATTCATGTTCATCGATTTGACTCAAATTCTCATATTTGATTTATAGCATACTAAAACATATATCCAAGTTATAAAAAGTATAAAATAAACAATTTACAAGGCATGGGCTCGATAATATGTTTCATCGTTTCTTGTGTATTTTAGTCTAGATGCCATCTAATTAACTATCGAGTTGACCTCCGAAGACTGCCGACGGTCATATAAGCGATTTATAAACATAAATGTAGATATAAATAGATAGCAAACTCAGGCAATAGGATTTTTCTAGGTCTGTTTAATTTTATATTATAGGTTAAAAATATAGGGACGATGGATTCATAATATTTGATGGAACATCAGATGAAATTGCAGATTCTTTTCGTTTAGCAAATAAATATAACCCCTTATTGAAGTCCACCTATGAAATCTCAAACGACAAAATGTCATTCTTAGATGTTCATGTAATTAGTACTAGCGTTTCTGGCAAGTCTGGATAACTATTTCAAATAGAAACTGTAATCAGCAAAATGTTTGCAAGATAAGATTTACAAATAAGTCGACAAATCGAACTTAACAATATACTTCTATAATTTAATTTTGGATGTAACGCGTCTTCTGATTGGCTGACGTTGTTTTGTTTATCAGCACATAGACATAATTTTGTCATGTGACCGTGACGTCATCAACGTTTTTTCATGGTTTACTCAGGTTTAAAATGGAATTTAGAATTGTTTTTTTTTTTTTAAAGAGGTGGAAGATACCTAAAGACATTCAAAAGTCGAGGGAACATGACAAAGCCATGGTAAAAACGACGAATAAGTTCACATTACACTATATATAAAGTCTGAGCAACACGTACGCCACCATAACATGGGGGTGATCTCAGGGCTCAAGAAAGATAAGCAGAGGAGACATTCAAAGGTCGAGGGAACATGACAAAGCCATGGTAAAAACGACGAATAAGTTCACATTACACTATATATAAAGTCTGAGCAACACGTACGCCACCATAACCTGGGGGTGATCTCAGGGGCTCAAGAATGGTAAGCAGAGGAGACATTCAAACGTCGAGGGAACCTGATAAAGCCATGGTAAAAACGAAGAATAAGTTCACATTACACTATATATAAAGTCTGAGCAACAAGTACGCAACCAAAACCTGCATGGGGGTAATCTCAGGGGCTCAAGAAGGGTAAGCAGAGGAGACATTCAAAGGTCGAGGGAACCTGACAAAGCCATGGTGAAAACGACGAATAAGTTCACATTACACTATATATAAAGTCTGAGCAACACGTACGCCACCAAAACCTGGGGGTGATCTCAGGGTTCAAGAAGGGTAAGCAGAGGAGACATTCAAAGGTCGAGGGAACCTGACAAAGCCATGGTAAAAACGACGAATAAGTTCACATTACACTATATATAAAGTCTGAGCAACACGTACGCCACCAAAACCTGGTGGTGATCTCAGGGGCTTAAGAAGGGTAAGCAGTGGAGACATTCAAAAGTCGAGGGAACCTGGCAAAGCCATGGTGAAATAGACGAATAAGTTCACATTACACTATATATAAAGACTGAGCAACAACTAAGCAACCAAAACCTGGGGGTGATTTCAGGGGCTGAAGAAGGGTAAGCGGAGGAGACATTCAAAAGTCGAGGGAACCTAACAAAGCCATGGTAAAATAGACAAATAAGTTCACAATACACTATATATAATGACTGAGCAACATGTACGCCACCAAAACCTGGGGTTAACACTATATATAAAGACTGAGCAACACGTACGCCATCAAAACCTTGGAGTAATTTCAGGGGCTCAAGAATGATAAGCAGAGGAGACATTCAAAAGTCGAGGGAACCTGACAAAGCCATGGTAAAATAGACAAATAAGTTCACAATACACTATATATAAAGACTGAGCAACACGTACGCCACCAAAACATGGGGGTGATCTCAGGGCTCAAGAATGGTAGGCAGAGGAGACATTCAAAAGTCGAGGGAGCATGACAAAGCCATGGTAAAATAGACGAATAAGTTTACAATACACTAGTACTATATATAAAGACTAGTGTTCAGTGGTTGTCGTTTGTTGATGTGGATCATAAGTGTTTCTCGTTTCTCGTTTTTTATATAGATTAGACCGTTTGTTTTCCTGTTTGAATGGTTTTACACTAGCCATTTTTTGGGGCCTTTATAGCTTGCCGTTCGATGTGACCCAAGGCTCCGTGTTGAAGGCCGTACTTTGACCTATAATGGTTTACTTTTACAAATTGTGACTTGGATGGAGAGTTGTCTCATTGGCACTTATACCACATCTTATTTTATCTATATATGAGCAACACGTACGCCACCAAAACATGGGGGTGATCTCAGGGGCTCAAGAAGGGTAAGCAGAGGAGACATTCAAAAGTCGAGGGAACCTGACAAAGCCATTGTAAAAACGACGAATAAGTTCACATTACACTATATATAAAGACTGAGCAACACGTACGCCACCAAAATCTGGGGGTGATCTAGTTTCCGGAAAAACAAAACAATGGGAAACACTTCATGCAATGGCTTTAACGCCTATAAAGAATAGACTTAGTCATATCATGGAAGTAAAATGTACTTCCATGGTCATATTGACTTATTTATAGATCTTGTCATGCTGATCATTCATTAATTTTTCTCAATCTACTATAGTTTCGGAAAAAAACACACAAAAATTTGTTAATATCGTCATGCATGGGCAATTACTCTTATAAGGAGTCGATTGACGAATTCGGCCATGCTGACATAGTAATAAATCGTTTCCTGCTTACGATCGGTTTTTGATTTTAAAAATTGGTCTATCTAGTAGTTTTCTCGGGAAAAAACACAAAGATAAAATTCGTCAATCAAGGGCAATAACTTCTATAAAGGAAAAAAATCACTTAATTTCGTGCGTCCGAAGCGCTTTTCTGGATTTACCTTCATCAGGATAGCTCAAACCTCAACATTTGAAAGCAATGAATGTACAAGACCAAACACACGAAGAGCTATAGGACAAAAAACGGACCTAAATATAGCCAATTTCATCCCAAGTCAACTTTACCCGGGGTTGTTAGAAAATTTAAGGAGTCCACTAACATATTAAAGGCATGTTGACTTATATAGTCCTTCTGACCGTTTTTTGCTATTGAGATTCTCTCTATCTATTATAGTTTCCGCAAAAATACACAAATATGCAGGGTAAAAATGGTCACCCAAGGGAAATAACTCATGAGTTTTATCATTTGAGTAAATAGATCTTGTCCTCCTGATAATTTTTGCCATTTACAATTTCTCTTTACCAATTACAGTTTTCAAGATAATAGCAAATAATTGCAAAAATGTAAAAAACAGCGTTCAAGAGCAATAACTCTTACAATATAAGGAGTCGTCTGACAATTTTGGTAAATAAGACAGTATGTAGATCTTTACATTTGGAACACTTCTGCCCTGTCAAATGTCCCCTTTCTATATATATTATGGTATTCAAGTTACATGTATAAGTCAATTACTTTATCAATATGATTTTGTTAAGCCATGGTTTCGTTTGGTTGCTTGGCAGAAATAAAAACCTCATTGTTTTATACCAAATATCATGAATATCCTAAGGACTGTTCAGTCCATGTTTGTCTGAAATTAGTCCAATAGTTGCATAGATTTTTGAAAAAAAAGTTACAATGGACGCAAAATGATGACACTAAAAATATATTCGACCGAACAATCCTATCCTATCTGAAACATCAGATCTATACTGTATATTATATACGTTACATGGAGAAAGAAAAAAACACAACAAAATTAATTCTTAGATTTTTAAATAACGTGAATAATAAATGTTGCATAATTGTCATAACAATTCAAACTTATAAACCAAACCCAAACATTGCGTACTGACAATTCAGAGAGTCAAATTCAAATGCTGCAAGAAACATCCTTTAAACATGATTACCGACCGTAATAATTGTGATGGAGGAACAACAGTTTATCGACAGTTTCTGGAGATAATTTGGCATTTTTCACTGTATTGTTTTCACTAACACTGAAATTGTTCATGCACAGATAACGCCGGGCTAAGCGGGATAATGTCGGATACAAATTTTCTCTGCTTGACCACCACTGTAGGGGAGGTGTAGAGACTTGCTGTGTGGATATGTAATGGTCTATTTCAACCAAAACTTTCTCTTCTTTGTCGCTGCCTTTATCCGACGGTTTGTCTTTGCAGACAACATCAGCTAACCAATCATCTGTCCCATTCCGGTTTTCCTGATGGTCTAGCTTTTGCTTCTTTTCCATTGGTTCGATCCGAATCACATCCCCAGATTCTTCCACGACGATGATTTCGCCGTCATATGCACCGTTTTTACCATTTCGTTCGCGATACATTTCGGTTGCTACCGTGCCGAGCAGCTCCCTTGCCTGTGACTTCTCGGCTGTTTCTACAAACTGTAAGTCTTTATAGCGGGGATCTAATAGAGAACTTATAAGGAGAAATTTTCTGACAGCTGTCGAATTAAAAGGTGTTGAAACAGATGACCAAGTCGCTTTCTTCAAAACTTTCATGAACTCAGAATCTGATTCCTTTGAAGCCAGTGCCATTTCTAATTTTCTTAGTATTGGTAAAATCATCGAAGATATAACGCTCGAATTGTCACTAAGTAGCTTATATGCTTTCTGTATCGGCGACAGAACGGCTTCCATGTCAGAAATCTCTTGCCATCGCTCGTCTGTAATGTTTAGTTTTGAGTCCATAGTTTTTGTCTTAAACGATTGTTTGTTTTCGAGGATGCATGATATCACGGAGGTGAATGCTGTCCAAGAGAAGGTTTTAGCTTCAATTTCCTTGTAATCCTTAATTATCTCAAACATTTCCCCATACAATTCAGCGGGAGATTTATCTTGTAAAATTTGACCTATTATCAAGATAACCTGCTCGATGACAGATTTGGTCACGCTTTGGTTTTTCATTAAATTTTCACCAGCTGTGAAGAGACCTGTAGTACAACTCGGCATATTGATCAGACGTAACGATGTAATGGCTTTCTGTATTATTTTTGACCCATCATTTAGCAATGTTGATGAACTTTTAATCTCCCATTCCTCACATGTAGCCTTAAATAATCTTAGGAAAACATCTTCGTTAATGACACTGTTCAATGAGACTGTTTTCAAAAGAAATGTTTTCATGTGCCATTGCGTGTTTATAAGCTGAACTGATATCGAGACAAACTTCTCACCGGTTATCGATTCCCAGACTTCTGCTACCGTAATCACTTCATTCCCTGATATTTCTGAGGCGATCGATTTCTTCGTTTCATTGTAAAACTGGTGAATTGAATTGCCAAATAAATATTCCTTGTCAGGGACCACATACATGGGATCTGCTACTGCTATCATGGAATAAAATGAAGTGCTTTCTACCACCGAAAGAGGCAATAAATGTTCAATGAAAAAGTTGACAATAGTATCATTTAATTGTTGATGTTTTGATCGTTGACCTGATTTATTGTCATCGGTAGTACTAGAAGTAGTTTGAATATTACCTGCAGCTTTAATATCCTCAACGGTAGACTGAACAACTGCCTCCACATACTTAAATTTAAAGTCCGGTGAAGCGTGCATCCAACTTTCATCTAAATCTTCAAATAATCCAGTATTTTCACGACGATGTTTAGTTAAATGACAATGAAGGTTCGTTGTATTACCCGAGTATCTAATCCCCTGGCGACATATTTTACATACGGCTCGTGATTTATCTAATTCTCCGTCGCTGCCTTTCTGAAATCCAAAATGATTCCACACTGAACTTTTGGAACGTCCAGGAAACTTATATATTTGCGGGTCTAATGTCAGAATATCGCCTCCTTGTTCTTGCTTAATCGACATCATTCTTTGAAAATGGCATGAACATGCGCAGATCACGATATATCGGAAATACACGTCTGCACAAACAAACCCTTATCGATTCGCCTGTATGACTTATCTCACAACAAACACGCTTTGTACTAAATGTAGATCGGCATTTAATCACACTGTTCGATATGTGTACGATTACCTGAGGCGTATTGTGTCATTGATTTATCACATGTGTACATGACCTTTATATTATCAACAAGTGTGTATGAAGAAAGCCGATTAAAAAATGATAATAATCGCTTTAATACAAGTTGACATTTTAAATTATGTGAATACAATATTTTTGTTCATGTTGACTAAAAGTTTTTAAACATCTGCGTGTCCTTCTTCAATGATCGATTAGCATGTGAAGAAATAAACTACACAGGAAGGTATTGTTATTTATCTCGGACCAATATTTTCCAAACGATTCTTCTGTCAAATGTCTGTAGGGCGTTGTACTATACCTATAGACATCAAGGTCATAATATAAACACGCAATGGCAAATGAAATTGTACTAATCGGAAACCTTTCGATGATCTGTTTGTCTATTCATATATGCATAATAAATATTAAATATTAACTTTAGTGAATAAAGCCTGAAGTCATGGTCATGATAGGTGATATCTTTGTTAAAATATCAATAGTTGACCTCTGAAGACAGTTTCACATGGATTTAGAATAATACTCCATCATAGTTCTGAAACAACCATGATCAATCACGATGGAATTTCCTAAAATAAAAATACAATAAATATATGAATTTATATATTACTTCGAAGGCTTTACAATGAATTCATCTACAAATCAGTAAATTTATCGGGTCTAACAAAGTTGGGCTAAATTTCAGATATAAAATACATAGTGGAGCTAGGCCCCTCTTTTTGATCAAAATGTTTTAAAAAATCTCCTCCGGTTATCCGCGGCGATATTTTAACTACTATAGAGGATTACGAACCCTTTTACTGGAACCCTGGATCCGCCCTAGAAATATGTATAACAGTTGTAACATGGTTTTTCTTGCCTTGCTGCCACAATGTTGCCAAATATAATAATTATTGAGTGTCTGCTTTTTTATACGTCCTTAGGAAAAGTCACAATTCTTACTATTAAACGATTTCACTTTCCAAAAATGCATACGAAAAAAAATTATCTCGATCGTGTTTTGTTATTCCATGATAATGTTATTTGTCGGCCGGCTTTTTTTTAATTCTTCATGTGCGAATATGCTGAGATTTCATTAAGGAAATCCATTTGTGTGCAATTTATTTATATGTGAGAATCTGTTTTTTTTTTAAGCGGTTGATACAATGATGGGGGGGGGGGGGGGGGGGGGTGCATATCCGTTTGTTAAGGTTTTTTAAAACATTAAAACATGAATATTTAAATAAAGTGGAATGAGAATAAGAATATTTTATTTCCAATTAAAGGGCCCTATAAAGAGTTTTCATCACATTACATACAAGTACATAAGATTAGACATAAATTTAGAGACATAATTATAAGAAAACAACTCCGTTTAACACTATTAAAAATGCTATAAAAGGCCAGGACAGAACCAGATATTATAATCAATATCTTTAAAATATACCATTGAAAATCATATACCACTCAAAATATGTATATTTGTGGCTAACTAGCATTTATTAGGTCAAGGTCAGATGAAATCTGTCAGTTGGACATGTACCCCTTACAATCATTCCATACATCAAATGTAGTTGACCTATTGTTTATAGTATCTGAGAAAAAGACCAAACCACAAAAACTAAACATTGTTCAATGAACCATGAAATTGAGGTCGGCATATAAAAATAAATTGCTTCGCCGAGCGCAGCTGGATACGACTGCAGAGGTCCAACCCTGAACAGTTGGGGCAAAAATGGACATTCGCGCTTGATACAGGTCTGAATTTGGATTGTAATTCAATTACACATAATAGGTTTCTGACACAGAATAACTGTAGTCAAAGAACTTAGAATTGGTTATATGATTTGAATTTATTTTTGCAAAAAAAATATTTGAAGAATTTTTCTTTTTAATTTCTGAAATATGAAATGAGAAAAATTTGACCCCCCACAATTTCTTTTTACACCCCCCCCCCCCCCCCCCCCCCTTTTCCCCCCAAAAAAATTCTTTCCCTCAAGATATGGTCATAATCTCAATTCAAATTTCCAATGGAGTTTGCAACCATTAATCACTGTGCTTAAACGGCTGTGGGTAACTTAAGTTACCCACAGCCCAAGATGGCGATCTCTAAACTCGTTGATATATAATTGATACAAAATCTACTTTTTGCGACGTATTTCATACACTATATTATACAATTATAGCCTTTGTATGAGGTCGATACGAGGTTATATCGACCTAAGAGAAGCATATTGACTGAGGACGAAGTCCGAGGTCGATATGCTTCTCTGGGTCGATATAACCTCGTATTGACCTCAACCAAAGGCTACAATTGTTATATTATTAATCAACAACTATTGCATGAACAATATAAAATTGGGGATTTCTAGAATCTATTTTTAGTAACATGCTGTATGCCCTGTGCAATATGCTGTTTTTGACCTACGAAAAGCTAAACACAACAGTATTGGCGTGCAAACTGAGCAAACACAAATGTACATGTGATCAAGTTTTAACGAATCACAAATCCTTAAAAATATTCGATTAATAATATATGTAAATATTTATAGGATTCTTGAATAAAGAAATCACTTAGCATTACCATAAATTTGTTAATTTTGAGTTCATTTTAGCGCAAGGCCAACTTTAAAAAATGCATAAGACGTCCGTAACTTTATGGTCAAAACTAATCAGACTGTCCGTAACTTTATTTTCGAATGTGGGTAACTTTTGTTTTCGAAATTGTAAGATTGATAATTTCAACAATTAAAGGACAATAAACACTATCAAATCCCGTATTTATTACCTAGTTTTATACTATTACGATATGCGTCAAAATAATCAAGAGAAAAGAGAACATAGCTGTAAAAAATCAGACCTGAGTTTTACGGATTTACCGTTGTTTTTTTCAATTTATTTCCGATTTTCGGATAATATGTTTATAGATTAATCCAGTAAACCTGGTTAGCAGCATCCAAAGTATACTTTGCAGAGTGTTTACCTAAAACAAGATCTGATGGTACGGCGAAATCTTACATTCTTCTGGCTTTATAGATTGTTCACTGTTGAGTCCTTGGCCCTTTAGCCGCGGGCAAAATTGATACCTTTTTTCTTTAAATAATTTCCGAATTGTTAGCCAAAAAAGTATGGTCTCCACTATACCTAATGTTATGAAAAAAAATGCCAACATCTTAAAGTAAATGGAAGGCTATATTGTTGAACAGGTGTCCGTTTATAACAGCAATTAAGGTAGATTTAAAATCTTCTAAACGTTTCATTGACCTCAGGGATTCAATACACCTTATCGCTATTTGTCCGCCATTACTTGATATCACACAGGTTCCCGTAAAATTTGACGTCATAAAACAAAATATCTGACGCCACAATGGAAAAGTGATTGTTGTATGCGTCAAAAGTTCAAGCGGCCGGGTCAGCCGGGATTAGCGATAAGGTGTATAACACTTGGTATCAAAGCGTAAATATCTCCTTCAGGGGTCTGGACAGCTCCGTCTATGTATTTCCGCTCAGGATTGACATCTGAACTTGTTCTCTTAAAGGTGATTTTCGTATGTTCACTTTTAATGTATGTTTTTAAGCCTTGAGTAATTTGATCTGAATAGTTTGTGATATCTGCAGTGGGAAGTGGTGAGATTTATAAGCTGCATGTCCTGATTTTTCGTCCAAAACTTGTTTCCTTATGCTAAATTTTGAAGTTCCATTGTGTTGGCTGATTGAGTGATAAACATGGTATCTATAATACGTTCTCATCTAAAATTTAAAATTCTCATTCACGGTCATTTGCCATAATTCGTACTCAAATAGGTCGAATTATTGCTCATAATACAAACGTATGCAAAAACGAGAAAAATAAAGGAAAACACGTTTTTCTTTTTATCAAACACTTGAAAATCGAGAATCTGGCATATTGAACACCTGGTGAATGCTGAACTGAATTGAATAAATTAACTTGCATTTCTCAGGCCTGTATGCCAGCATACGAACCTGGTGTATGCTAAAGTCTACATTTAATTTATACATTGCATTTCTCAGGTCTGTATGCCTGCATACGAACCTGGTGTATGCAGAACGGCCAATATTGAATCAAATGTTGTATTTCGCAGGTCTGTATGCTAGCATACGCACCTGGGTGTTTCCAGAATCTTCAATGTAATGCATATGAATCAGTAGAGCATACAAACATGGTGTTGCCAAAATCCTTTACTTCAGTAGTTGTGTTTTAACACCGATTTCGATTTATTTGTTTTTAAACTACAAGTCTAAGACTGACCTCTATATTTTCTCCCGATCGGAAAACAGAAAAGCGTTAAATTGCAAGGCAAACCGGTTCTACGGCGTTTACTGTTGTAAATCTAAAAATGAAAACCGATTCTCAAGTTCCACGACTATAATCACTTTATTGACATGCAAGTTATCCGTTTTGTTTTTTGCAAATTAAAATTACGGAAAAATGAGGCGATCATACATTTGTACAAGGTTCCAAGTTGTTGACAAACTTTTAAATGACGTCAGGGACCTTGTGACGTAAGGCGGAGGGAATTACAGACGGAGCACAATGAGGGCCTTGACTTACGCGAGTTACATTTACCAGTACACTTAATTAAAATAATAGCAATTGATTACAAAACAAAATAGTTTTTTTATACTTTGTATTGGTAATTGATAAAAAGTCAAAGAACAAGTGGACTATTTATCTGCGTTGAATGACCACTAATAACCCCTTATGTCACGCGCTCCTATATGACGTCATTTCTAAATGTAAACAATGAGCATGATCAATGAAGGAGTTCCCGTCATGGAGAAGAAAATGGACAATTCATTGAAAAGTACGCTCTATTATCTAAATTTTAATATACCAGAAGCAAAACAGAATATTAGCACATTACGGTAAGTAAACCTACCGTTATTGCATAAAAAAATCAAGAATCAAGAAGCCCCCCCCCCAAAAAAAATAGCCTTGCAAGATGTCATAAGTATTTGGACTACCCCCATCCCCTTGAAAGCATTT